CCTGCTCTGTGTGTGACAGGGGGTGGTGCTGCAACCTCCCCATCGACCCTGCCTTGAGTGTGACAGGGGGCAGTGCCCCAACCCCCCAGTCGGCCCTACCCTGAGCGTGACTGAGGGTGGCATTGCAACCTCCCGATCCGCCCTGCTCTGTGCATGACGGGGCGGCGCCCCAACTCCCCAATCGGCCCTGCTCTGAGCCTGACCAGGGGCTGCACCTAGGGATTGGGCCTGCCCTCTGCCACCCGGGAGCAGGCCTAAGCCAGCAGGTCGTTATCTCCCGAGGGGTCCCAGACTGCGAGAGGGCACAGGCCGGGCTGGGGGACCCCCCCCACGAGTGCACAAATTTTTGTGCACCGGGCCTCTAGTCCTAAAATAAAACTAAAATCATGATATAGAATTGCCATTTGCTACTATTGTAAATTAAGCATTACTTGAAATGTGCTGGTCTTCAAACCATACCAGTTTCTTTTAATATGAACAGAAGCAGTATTTCACATAGTTCTAAATTAGAGCATTCAAATACTGAAGATGAGAACATGTTTGAACTCTTAACTCTGTTGCTATTCACTCTTGCAACATCTTTAAGTATTCAGAGGCCATCAGTAAGAGTCGATCTGATCAACCCAGCAGATCTGATTCTGTATTCTCTATCACTGGACAAAGGCACTGCATCCTAACAGATGTCCTCCCAGATCCCTGCCCCCTCTACTTCTCCCTAAAAAGAAGCCTTAGGACAGTGATGGCGAATCTATGACACGCGTGTCAGAGGTGACACGCGAACTCATATTTTTGGTTGATTTTTCTTTGTTAAATGGCATTTAAATATATAAAATAAATATCAAAAATATAAGTCTTTGTTTTACTATGGTTGCAAATATCAAAAAATTTCTATATGTGACATGGCACCAGAGTTAAGTTAGGGTTTTTCAAAATGCTGACACGCCAAGCTCAAAAGGTTCGCCATCACTGCCTTAGGAAGTGGTACAAAGAATCCTGGGTTCTGTGAAAAAAGTATGGATATTCCAAGCTGCCTGACTACCTTTGTTCCTTAGAAAACCAAGTGTCTTTGGTAGGCAGAGAATAACAAAAGGTGGTAATATCTTAAAATGGTCCCCACTGATTCTTACCTCTTCATATTCATGTCCTCACTCTCCAACCCATAACATATCTCTTATTTATTTATTTATTTATTTATTTATTTATTTATTTAGTAAATCCTCACCTGAGGATATTTTTAGAGAGAGTAGAAGAAAAGGAGGGAGGGAGGGAGAGAAAAAAAGAGAAACATTGATGTGAGAGAGACACACAGATTGGTTGCCTCTCGCACACACCGTGGGGCCAGGGATAGAGTCTACAACCCAGATACCTGCCCTTGACAGGGAATCAAACCATGACCCTTGGTGCTCGGGCAAACACTCTAACCACTCAACACACTAGTCAGGGCTAATATAATTTTTAAAGGAAGAATACTAATGAGGAAGAAATGTATAAATGGGCTTTTCACCAAAGCACAATACAAATGATAAAAAGACACTTACTTTTCCTTTTTTTCTTGTTTGTGGGCCTCCCTCGTAATTTGAGCTGCTTTTCTACTATATGGATGGATGACTTTTTTTTCTCGTCCTACACCTTTTCCCTTTTGTGCTTTAGGCTAAAAGGTAGGAAAACATATGATAGTCAGATATATAACTAATTTATGTCAAAAATTTTTCTTCAGAAATAAATGTTAAAAATAATAACATAACAGAAATACTTTGAGCCTGAAACACTACATCAGGATTCAGAAGATAAGGCAGATCTTTTAAGTAATTCAAACAGTCTGTTTCCATGGTCATAAGAGAAATGATATATTCAGAACTATTCTCCATGATGTAAAAAAATTAAAGAAACAAACAGAGTCAATAAAGCCAGCTCTTCAGCTGTTCCCTCTTCAAAGTAGGTACAGTGAATGCTGAGAGTGAAGGGTCTTACAACTGGAAATTTGTGTTACAGTTAAGAAAGTTAAGGGGGCAGAAAGAACATAAGATATTAATAGGAGCTTTACTGGAGAGGATGCACATGGAACAGATTGGGCAGTGAATCAAACAAAATCAAAGTTGGGCACATAGGAAAATAGGAACAGAGGAAATAATAGGAGCCATCTCAAAATTAGCACACCCCCAAAGGAAACAATTATTTTCCCATTCAAGCCTTATGCCAGGTACCTAGGTCATAATTCATTCAGTTCTCTAAACTTAGACCAGGGGTCCTCAAACTATGGCCCATGGGCCACATGCAAATACAAATATTGTATTTGTTCCCGTTTTGTTTTTTTACTTCAAAATAAGATATGTGCAGTGTGCATAGGAATTTGTTCATAGTTTTTCTTTAAACTATAGTCCGGCCCTCCAACGGTCTGAGGGACAGTGAACTGGCCCCCTGTTTTAAAAGTTTGAGGACCCCTGACCTAGACATTTCTAATAGTAAGTCTATTCCTACATAACTCTGTATCCTATTACACCTATCTATTATTTAGAAATTAGGTTTGGCTTCCTATAATAGACACCCAAAATAACAACGGCTTAACCCAGATAAAGTTCTCTCATGTAAAAAGTAGAAGCTAGAGGCTCTGCTCCACAAAGCTCTCAGAGATCCAGGCTACTTCCATTTTATTATCTAATAACCTTAGGCTATAACTTCCTATATATATATATATATACAGCGTGTCCAAAACAATGTATACACACACTTTGAGTAATGTAAAGGCGGTGTTTATTAAAATACATTTCCTTTTCATTTAACAGCTATCAGCTGTTAAAGTGTATATACATTTTTTTGGGACACCCTACAGTTCAAGGTGACTTAACACCAAGTCCAAACTGCAGCCAGTGAGAAGGAGAAAAGAACATCAAAAGGCATACCCCTTTCCTTTAAGAGCAAGATCTTAAACTGCAGCCAGTGAGAAGAAAAGAAAATCAAAAGGCATACCCCTTTCCTTTAAGAGCAAGATCTGGGAAGTTGCAGTCTTCTGCTTGCATACCACTGACCAAAATTTAATCAGAGTTGTATGAGAGAGAGTAATAAATATAATCTTTATTCTCAGAAAATATAAATTGCGGTAGAAGAGTCTATTAGGAAACAGCTAGCAGTCTCTAACATATCTAATATTCAAAAAGGTCAAATGTTTCTAAAATACTCTCTTCAAAATATTACCATTGCTTTAATTCAGCTTCATGACCTTTCATGACTAGGATGGCCTTTAGGTTCTCACTGCCAGTCCTTTTTACATGGAAGTCACAAGAGCTTACTTTTCTACACTAACTCACTCTACTAGCTGACAGTTAGGTCCAAGTCCTTAACATGGAAAACAATCTACCCCCAACCTACTTCTCCAGCATTCTCTCTCTTCCTTCGGAATATCCACCATCCCATTCTTACTAAACATTCTTACTGTTCTGTAAGTTCTTGAGACTGTACCTGTCACCTCTGCCTACAAAATACTTTTCTTTGTCCTTTGATAGGACACAGCTCACAGTAACTTCCTTTGTAAAACTCTCCAGACAGAATTAATTAAAAGGACCACCAATTCCTCATTCACACATGTACCCATTCCTTCAACAAATATTTACTAAAATATTCCACAAAGATTTGTTGCTTGCTTCTTGATAACCTGACCAGAAAAGATAGCTCCAGGTCTGCAACACAAAATGGCACTGGAAATTGGTTACAGGTATAAGGGAAGAGTAAAACCATCATAAACAGTATGTGGATTCTTTTGTGTGCCTCTGCTCCTGTGGAGATGAGGAGCAGGGAAGAGAGGAAGGTGTGATAAAAAAAATTTTTGCATGAAGTTTACCTAGCAAGTATGTATCAAGTAAAAACTTTCAGAACTCATGGTAGGTTGCCTCTAAGATGGTCCCCAATGAATCCCACCTCCTGATATTCATGCTCATGTCTAATCCTCTTCCTTTGAGCGTAGTCCTAGCGACTCACTTTTAGTAAACATTTGGCATAAGCGATGAGATTTCAACCCCGAGGTTAGGTTTTGAAAGAAAGGACTTTGACTTCTGTCTTACCTACTCTCTTGACTTACTCTGATGGAAACCAGCTATCATGTCGTGAGCTGTCCTATGGAGAGGCCTATGTGACAACTACCTAGAAGCTTCCAGCCAATAACTAGTGAAGAACTGAGGCCCTGTCAGGTAGTCCAAGAGGCGCTGAATGTACCAAGAACCACGTGAATGAGCTGGGAAGTGGATCCTCCCCAGTTGTTACTTGGGGTTAACCAGGGATGGGGAACCTTTTTCTGCCAAGGGCTATTTGGATACTTAAATCATTTGTAGGCCATACAAAATTATCAGCTTAAAAATTAGCATCCTATATTTGGTCAAACATTTAATTAACTCACCCCTAATGCCTTGGCAGGGCCAGACCAAATGATTTCACAGGCCTTATACGTCCCTTGGGCCAGACATTCTCCACCCCTGTTAAACTAAAGCCTCAGATTGTACCTTGAAGACAACCTTGTAAGAAACGTAGAGGCAAGGACATGGTAAACCATGCCTGATCCCTGACCCACAGAAACTGTGAGATAATAAATGCTATTGTATTAAGCCATTAAATTTTGGAATAGCTTGTTACCCAGAGAGATCAACTAATTCAAGACCAAAAACCAAAACAACAACAAAATAAAGCAAAGATGTGCTCTTTAAAAAGATATCTTTGTTTCATATCCTAACAAATAAAATGAAAGTCACAAAAAGAAAAAAGATGCTATCTGAAGCTGCTAAAATTTAACAACTACAGTTAGGTCCATAAAAATTTTTCTTTAAAGATTTAAAAAATTTATTTAGAACAAGAAATACTTTGATACCCTTAGAGTATGAAAATGTCCTCAGAGCTTTAGAAGATCTCAGGTAAAGAACCTTCGAGACTTAGTACAAAGAAACTGAACATGTATTCTGACTCAACTGTGCTTTATGATTCCTTATAATAACTTATTCATAAAAAGGTTGCCTCAAGGCAGGGGATGTATATTTAATAAGGCACAGAAATAACACTAAATTTCAAAACATTTTCCTATTTTTCAGTATATCACAATAAAAAAAACACACAACAAAATGCTTCAACAAGGAAACTGAAGTAAAACCCTGTCAATAAAATGTTAATCTATTAAGCAGTCTATTCAATATAGACTTAAGTAAAAAGCAATTAGTCTCTATTGGTCAGGGGTTCTCCAAATGAATTTCGTAGAGAGTCTGATGATTCATGAATAATACAGAACATAAACAGATAACAAAACTAGGGGAGTTAAAAGTGCACTTTCAATGGAAGATTAACATTTTATGTTTTAAAAAATACCAAATTTAACTTTCAAAGAGATAGCAAAAATAAAATTTCTTTTCATAGGCATAACTAATAGATTGTTCTGAATAACTGACTACATCGTACTTCAAAAAGTTTCTGGCCCAGAAGTATTCTAGTCAGAAAACTTGCACTGAAAGTATCTTTTCCCCACAATCTTTAGTGGGGAAAATTCTAAACTTCAGAAAATTCTAAACTATTTATTATAGTATATACTGAGAGTTACAGAAGAAAACATAGTTTACTCAAAAAACAGCAACAGAGAGGTATTTCCGGGGCAATATGCTTCACATATTCCTATTAAAATAAAAACTAACAAAGAGAAACTGGGGGTAGAAAGGTGGTTGTCAGGGATGAGGTGTGGGGTGGGAGGGAGAAATCGATAGGTGGCAATAGATACAAACTTCCAGTTATAAGATGATTATGTTCTGGGATTTAAGGCACAGCATGGTGACTACAGTTAAAATATTATAGTATATACTTGAAAGTTACTAAGAAAGTTAATCTTAAAAGTACTCACAACAGGGGAAAAAAGGTAACATGTGAAGTGGGGGATTGTTACCTAAGCTTACTGTGGCAACAATTTCACAATATATTCAACAAATCACGATGTATATCTTAAACTTATACAATGTTACATGTCAATTACATCTCAATACAGCAAACAAACAAATTTAAAAAAAAAAAACCAAAATGTTTAAGCTGATTTGCTGTTATAGCTCACATTTGTAGGTGTGAAACCAACAGCACACAATTCTTGTCATTAAGGAGTATTTAGGTAGTCAATTATAGTTAATGCCCACAGTAATCAAGGGAGGACAATGGCATATGTTTTAATGGTTTATAATCTAGCCAAGTAGATAAGCACATTTAAACTCAAATAATGGGCTTATACAAAAAAAAAAAAGTATACCTGTGAGTGCCTGCCTAGTAGCCAAGCACACACGAAACTTAAAAGCACTAGAATCTTTTTTTAAATGCAGAATAAAAAGTGTTGAATGGGATGAATTTGAACAGTCATGTTAGTTAAATTTTTATATGAACTTGTAGAGCTCTAAGAAAGATTCACAATAAACAAAAATAAATGAACAAAAAACAAAAGTGGACAACTACAAACTGTACTGTTACTATTGACTACTGTTACGAAAGTTAATTACAACTAACATTTACTAAATACCAGATATTGGGATAATTGGTTTACACAATTCTCTGAGGTAGGCACTATGATTTCCCCAATTTAATAGGCATGACCACTAAGAGGGGTGTAGTAAGTTCGCCAAGATCATCATTTAGTAAAGATACAGGTGCCAAACTCAGTCCTCTGGGATGCCATAGCCCACATTCTGAGCTGCACTGAAAGAAGTTTAGAGGAACTGATATAAAGGTGTGGATGGAAAACTCCCAGTTCCAAGCTGAGTTTAAGTACAAGAGAGGACGTAGCAGAGTCACAGGAGATATACCAGAAAAACGAAAGGGCGGGAAATGTGCCAAAGAGAACAGACTCATATGCCCCTCTTTTGACTCTTACAACAAGGCAATACACTCCTACTATCCAGCCTGACAAAAGTGAAGTTCTCATGGACAAGGACGGCAGGCGAATGCCAATCAACCCCAATCACTCACCTCCAATCCCATTATTAGTGTTTTAATGTTCCATTCTGAAAAGGGAAGGCTATAAAAGGAAATTGTAAGAGGCTGGAAATAGCACAAGGGTAGCGAGAAACAAAAACTGAATGTACACAAACTTGACTATAATCTAAAGCCAAAAGACTGTAGACATGAAAGACAGAAACAGCCCCACAACAAAAACAAAGGATCCGTGGAAGAGGAAAAAGACGTACGTTGTAGCCAGAGTATCCCAAGTTTTTATGATGTTGTTTTTATTAAACACTAGTTGTTATAAAACATGTTCCCATTTAAGAATTATTCTCAAGAGCATAATTATAAGTGAAAAAAGCAAGAAACAAGAAACAGTTTTGGGATGCAAACATAAGTGGTAACCATAAAGGCAAGCAAGGGAATTACAAACACAGAATTTGGATACTGCTGACCTCTGAAGAGTTCCTGATGGCTAATCACGAAGGGGCACACCGGATAATGGATAAACACGCGTTCCTTATACCGCTCGTCTTTACACTTCAGTGGGCTTTACATAAATACTTTTTCCCATCTCAGTTTTTAATGAAAACACTTTTCAGTGTCTGAGTGGGAACGGGGGGCGTGGAGGCAGGACTTGGGGGGAGAGTGGGGCCCTGGAGGGCGGTGCCTGGAGACCAAAGAGGCGGCGGCGGAGCCCACGCAGCCCACACGGGCAGGAGGAGCGGCACAGGGCATGGAAGCAGCGTGTTTACGAGTTTGGCCGAATAGCAATAGCGAGAACACGTGCAGCTGAGGATTTTCCGCGACGGGGAAGAACTTAAGCAGGAGGGAGGCGAGAAGGGGCAGGGCGCCTGCGAGGACTTGGGAACTCGGGAGCAGAGCTTCAAGGTCCGGACGCCGGGCTGGGACCCTCCTCCCGGCCACCAATCTCGGGGCACCCCTTGGGACAATCACTTCGCGTGCTCCTCTCCCAGCTTCCCCAGACCTCCCCCTGCCTCCCCGATCGGGAGCCAAACGGGCTCAAAGGAACGGGAGGGGCCCACCATGGTGACGTCCTCGCGCCCCGGGGACCTCCGCACTCCACGTCGGGCGGCCTCACCGACGGCGGCGCCTCAGCTCACACAGGGGATCCAGGCAGAACACACGTGGGGTCCGGAGGAGCAGGGGCGTACCCGGCCGGAAGGGGCGGGGCGAGTACGTCGCTCTAAAACGTCCGGGGGAACTGCGACCTGGTCTTTTTTCGCCCACGTTGGCGTTGAAGCCCTAGCCCGGCGGCAGCCTCCCCGCGTGCTCGCGACGCGCGAGGGCGGGAGCTTGGCCGGAGGGTGAATCCGGCTCCCTGACGCCGGACGCTCAGGCTCGGGGCGCCCCAGGCCAGGACGCGGGTCCTGGGCATCAGCCAGGTGCACAACTCCAGGCCGGACGAGGCTCTTCTCCTGGGCTCTTGGGGGCTGCTCAGGACTGACAAAATGAACCCCCTGGTCCTCCTCTCCAGTCCCACACTCCGTCACCCAACAACTGCTTAAGATAGTGTGCAGACATCTTTCGAGATATTTCCCTGAGCTTGAACAAATGCAGAGAGAGGTGTGTGTTTGTGTAGACTGGTTAAGTATTTGTTAACATTAGATACAGATACAATGGGAATACATGCTTCATTTCTAGGGCAACCATTAAAAGAATAGAAACAGGACACAAACAGAGAAAATAAATGAATAATTTTTTAAAAACACATTCAAAGCAGGGAAATAAAAAAAAGAGAAACAGGAAGGTAAGAGAAATAGAAAATAAAAATGGGGTGGTAGATTTAAATCCATATGGTTGTGGACTAAGTGCCCTAATTAAAATATTAACATATTATATTGGATTTAAAACACACAACTATGTCCTGTTTGTAAGAGATATCTAAAATATAAGGAAACAAAATTTAAAAAATATGGGACAGGTATGGTAAGCAAATACTAATGAAAAGAATGTTAGTATAGATATATCAATATTAAACAAAAAAGACAAAGTCAAGAAGTATTATGGTAGATAGAAAAGATTACTTCATAAAGATAAAACGTTTCTATTTTAAATATATGTGTGCTTAATAATATTGCTCCAGATATATAATGGAAAAGAACTGATAAATTTTCAAGAAAGAAAAACCAACTGCCTTGGTGGTAAATTACCTTTTTTAGTAATTAATAGGAAAAAATCTGGTAAAATGTTAAAAATGATTTTGAAAACAACCACAAAACAACTTGACCTAACAGGTCTATTTAGAATACTATTTCCAATGCTTGCAAGAATACATTACCCACCCCCAAACCTAATGTCTTATGCAAGAATCTTATCTTCACTTGCTACATACTCGGCCTACTAAACTAATTCAAAACATGGAAGGAAAAAAATGAACTCAGCATTTGTATATTTCTTTTACAAAGTTTTATTTTAACAAAACTCAACAGTTCAGATAAAATATAAGTAAACTTAAGTGTTCCCAATCTCTAAATACAACTCACCCTCACAAAGTGAATATGTGTATATATATATTTTTTCCATAAATCATTGTAGACCTCTGGAGCAATCATTATGTCTGTTGTTTCCTCTACTAAAACCAAGTAGAAATTGAACTTATCAATTCTGCAATTTATATTTTCTCTCCAAAGCTATTTTTATTAGTGATGCTGATAGGTTTTATTTCTATTTGAAGTACACACTACCATAAATACTTTTCCATACTATTAGAAAAAATTAGCAAATAAATTACACAAAGGTAAGATAAAACATTTATTTTTAATAGATTTTAAATCAAGGATCAAAACTGGCACCTTGAGGATATGTTTTGTGTTATTTTTTTTCCAACACAGTGTTCAGAAATTTTTAAATTTTAAATGCCTTTAAATGGGTTTATATTCTCTAGTTTGTCAGAGAATCCTTCTCATATAACATCTGACATAAACTCATGGTACATTTCTAGCCCAATAGGCACTTGAGTTTGCCAATCCCTACTTCATGTGGATAAACCAAAAAATAATAAATGAATAGTTTCTTCCTATTTGCAGAAAACTTTTGACTGTCTTCCAAAATGATCCCTAAAATGAGTAATGGACATTTTTCCAAGACAACTAAATTCTTGGCATGTTGACTTAAAAATATTTGGCTCGCCTTTTGTCAGTGATAACCTCTTCTTAATAGGGAAAATAGAATGTGGTATCATGTCTTTGATTTATTTGGCTAAGTTGTGTTCACAGCCACATTATGTAATTTTACATTATCAGCATACTCTATACTTACATGGTTATTTTCAATTGTATACTTGTAAATATAAACTAAAAGATGAAAATGCTTAAAGGAAATATTATTAAAAATTAATACATAACTTTCCAGACTTTTAAAAAATATATCACTTTAAAATACTTTACATGTAATTTACAAAATATTATTTTCTTTATAGTATAAAAATCCAGTCTTATTGAATGACAACAGGGAATTCATATTCACTACCTAGGGTATTAAATCTCCAAGACCAGATTCTTTTCTTAACAAAACTGACCTTTTGTAATGTTAAAGACTTTCTATTTAATACTTTAGGAAATAGTTGTGCAATGCTTTAAATGAATGGAAGAATTTGGGAACTTGAAAAGAAATGTAAAGCAGATCCTATTTCTCTGATCTTTTTTCATATGAACACTATCTCACAGATCATTTTTAAATTATGTTTACTACTAATTGGATTTATTAGAACTCTTCTCGCCAAAATAATAGTGAGCTACCTTTGTTAATATTACTGCTTTCCAGTCAGTCCCTAGTTGTTTGCTGAATGTGTTTTTTTTTCTCTAATTCCTATCTTTACTCCTAGTCCAACTCTACTTTGTTTTTCTTTTCTTCTCCTTTCTCAATTGGATTTATTAGAACTCTTCTCGCCAAAATAATAGTGAGCTACCTTTGTTAATATTACTGCTTTCCAGTCAGTCCCTAGTTGTTTGCTGAATGTGTTTTTTTTTCTCTAATTCCTATCTTTACTCCTAGTCCAACTCTACTTTGTTTTTCTTTTCTTCTCCTTTCTCCAAAAGTATAAGTGAACATTAATTTGCAAAGGGCACTGGGAGTGAGGAATACAAGATGACCTCTTAAGGACTTTTCTTTCCAACATTCCTTTGGCAAGTATTAAAATCTTGTTATTGTCATACTATTATGATTTATTTGAATATGCATCCTTGAAAATAACAAAACTAGTTTAAATGGCAAATGACATTTAAAATATTTTTTTCTGAGTTATAATGTAAGGAACATATAAAGAGTAGCAAAACCCCTAGTTAGTTGTTTACAACCTGATTGAACACTGAAATCCTCCGGGGAGCTTTTAATATTACTGCTGCCCAGACACATCACCCAGAAATTCTGATTTAATTGGTTCGGAGTGCATACCATACATGAGATTTTTAAAAACTCCCCAGATAGTTCTAAAGTACAACCAGTGTTAGGAACCACTACTCCATCTACAGATGACTATTTTCAACTTTGACTACACATTAGAAACAATGCATGCATTTAAAAAATATAGCTTCCCAACTCTACTTATAGAAATTCAAATTCAGTTTGTCTGGGGTGGAACCCAGTATTGTTTTTGTTTGTTTGGTTTTTATTTTTTTCAGTGTCGTGATTTTAATGTGAAGTCAACGTTAAGAATTATTACTCAAGAATCAAGATGTTTAACATCAAAGCATGGGAGATGATATCCTGTCATTGTGTTTCATGTTTTTGATGACAAGCTAGAACCCTTGCCTGCTAGAAGAACTCAATGGCATAAACTTAGTTTTATGAGTAAGGAAGTTAATTTTGTTTTAAGAATTATTTGTAGTAACAGTAATAGTATTTTAGGGTATACTGGGGGAAATTGCAGTTCTAGATACCCTGCCACTGAGCAGTTTTGGATTTGATCTTGTAATTTTTGGCCAAATTTGTCACTGTAGTTTTATCTCTAAGTCGGAATCTTCGATTGCTCTAAGAAAGCCTATGTTGACATAGTATCTCCATAATTGGCTAGACTGAAAGCGACTTTAGATAATGTCTATCGATGCTCTGCTGTAAAGAGTTATGTTTCCAAAACAGAAGCAATGCATATAAAAGAACCACAACCTCAAGAATGGCTTCCTATAACATATGGATATAAGAATAACTCCCTTTTGAATGTATAACATGAGGAAAGGTATCAAACATTTAGCCACTGTTAATAATGCTGAACATGTAAGTAACAAAGCACATATTTAAAACCCATTCCATTGGGCCTGGAAGGAGATGGTCACGTGCAGAAAAAGCAGCGAAGTCACAGTCACATGGTGGAAAAATTCGGAGGCAGGCGGTGCATCCCAGTGGTCAGTCTCGCGACAAAGTCTGGCGCACGCACGCACGCACACACGCACGCACGCAGGCACGCACTCTCGCGACAAAGTCTGGCGTGCGCGAACGCACGCACGCATGCACGCGAGCCCTGGCCAGGCAGTTGCTGACCTCCTGACCTCGAGGAGGCGGGGCAAGGACGTGGGCGTCACGTGACTTAACGCGACTGACTTAACGGCCGAGGGGCAGCCGCCAACGTCCATTCTGCAGGAACCATGGACAGTGCCGCCACCGTCCGCTCTGCGGGAACCATGGACGGCGCCGC